AAGAAGGCTTTACATGGCCTAAAGCAAGCACCCCGGGCATGGAATAGTGAAATTAATGCTTACTTTAATGAAAAGGGTTTTCAAAGAAGCAAAAATGAGCCAACCTTGCACATCAAGAGGCAAGGTACAACCGGTATTCTCATTGTTTCATTTTATGTTGATGATTTGGTTTTTACCGGTAGTGATGAAAAATTGATTGAAGATTTTAAAATGGAAATGATAAAGAAATATGAAATTAGTGATTTGGGGCTATTGCATCATTTTTTAGGCATTGAAATCTACCAAAACAATGGTGGTGTTTTTATTTTCCAAAAGAAGTATGGTCAAACACTTCTTGAGAAATTCAAAATGAAGAATTGCAAATCAGTTGCTACTCTCTTGATTGTGAATGAAAAGTTGTCAAAGAAAGATGGAAGCAAAGAAGCTGAAGCATCTTGTTATAGAAGTTTGGTTGGAAGTTTGTTGTATTTGATTGCTACAAGATCAGACATCATTTATGCTATAAGTTTATTGTCTCGGTTTATGCACAGTCCAAGCCAAATTCATTTTGGGGTTGCAAAAAGAGTGTTGAGATACATTCAAGGTACACTTGATTATGGAATTTTTTATGAGAAATTTGTTGATGCAAAGTTACTTGGATTTTGTGATAGTGATTGGGCCAGATGTGTTGATGATATGAGAAGCACTTCTGGGTATGCATTTTCTCTTGGATCGGGCGTAATTTCATAGTCATCCAAGAAACAACAAACTGTGGTACAATCATCTGCTGAGGCCAAACATATTTCAACATCATTGGCAACTACACAAGCTATTTGGCTAAGAAGAATTTTGAATGATTTTGGTAAGAACTAAGGTGAAGCTACTCCAATTATGTGTGATAACAAGTCTGCTGTTGCTATGACAAAGAATCCCGTCTATCATTCTCGTACCAAATATATTGCTATCAAACATCATTTCATTAGAGAAGTTGTGGAAGATGATAAGATTCAAATCAAGTATTGCAAGACTAAAGATCAAATTGCAGACATCTTCACTAAAGCTCTACCAAGAGACAAGTTTGAATTTTTTAAAGAAATATTAGGTGTCACACAATATGGCATTAAGGGGGAGTGTCAAAATTAATGCCATATTTACATTGCATACATTGGATACCTAGTTAGTATTCATGTATTTTTATATTCATATGATTTATATTTATTAGATTCATTGTCTAGATTATATTCATGTACCTAGTTAGTTATAAGGTTGTTTATTGAACTTATGTATAACATTTTCTATATAAAAGGATGTCAGCCTATGGACAAAGAGAAGTATAAGAGAAAAAATTCAAGATCAATACAAGTTAAATTCAATACAAAATAATAGTTCACTTTAGAGAAAGTTTTATCAAAAGCTAACAAAGAAAATAAGGAGAAAAAGGAGAGCAAAAGGATTGGAGGGGGTGTTTGAGACAAGTAAGGCAAATAGAGAAGAAAAAAGAGTAGGAAGGGATTGTAAGGTGACAATGGTAGTGTCTAAGGCAATGGGAAGGGAGAGGACCGAGAAAAGGCATTGGTGCTAGTTGGGACAAGGAAAGGAAGAGAAATCAAAGTTGGGACTGAATCATTTACACGAGTAAAATTCAACTTTGAGAATATGTTTTTCTTATGTCATCCATTTTTGTTAAGTTGACAAACAGTTGACCGATAGATGGGTGAACTTGTTACAAGCTGTTGAACTTGATAAAACTTTTTTCAAAGCAAGGGAAGTTAATGATATTTAAGAGAATAAAGATGTGACAGCGTGATTTTAAAAAATTCAAGAGGTGTAAATTGTAATTTCTTTTTTTTTTTCCTTTCCTTTTTTTCAATCAATTCAGGGGAGTTCTTATTTGCATACACTACTTCCTCTCTGTGCATACTACTAACTATTTTTTTTTATTACAATTTTTTCGTAAAATAGAACTACCAAAATACTCTTGTTTTCATCCTCCAAAACCTTAATTCTCCAAACCCTAATCCCTTAACCTTTAGGCCCCGTTTGTTTTGGGGAATGAGAGGGGGATTGAGATTAAGATAGCTGTGGGCTCCATTTAGGCCTCGTTTGGCAAGAGGCTATTTTAGCCAATTAGTCAAAAAGTTAAATTAGCCAAAAAGCCAACAACCCATACCAAAAAGTCAAAGATTCTCTTTTCTCTCTACTTTTTGCACATCTTTTCGTAATTAGCCAAAAGTCATCCCAAACATATAAGTTTTTTTTACCTACCTTTTTAGCAAAATAGCCAAAAAGTTACTAAATTAGCCTGTTCCCAAACGAGGCCTAGGGTATAAATTTGGTCCAAGTCGGAGTCCAAAATTTGGCTTGGCCCAATTTACTTGGGTCTGGGTTGACTCATGTCGGGCTGTGTGGGTCTCTGTCAAAATTAGGACTGTGCCAGGTCTATCTATGGACTAAAAAATTAGGCTCATGCTTATAGGGTATTTGGGCTTTAGGCGAGACGGAGGGTCAGGCTTGGACTAATGTTTAAATTTTTGTTAAGTAAAAATCATTATTTTATTTTTTTCTGAAATTTTTTTATTTTATTTTTATTTTTTTAAAATTTTTTACATGTTGGTCATTTTTTTTAAAACATTAATGTTTTATGTTTTTGTATTTTTTTTATTTGTTTTATTATTTTATATTTATTTTATATAAAAATAATTTAACAATCTCTACACTAACAACTATCATCAAAACAAACACAATTTTACTTAATCCCCTCACTATTAATCCCCTCACTATCAATTTCTTCCATTCTACCTCTGAAAACAAACGAGGTCTTAGATGTTAGCCACAACCACTCCAAACCTTCTCCCACCTCTCCTTTTGTCGACACCCCTTTTCATATCTTTACTGACCAGCCCAACCTCTCCATCATCCACGACAATCCTAACCCCTTCACCTCCTTGTTCGACAGCAGTTATGATTAAAGATAAAGAGAGAAATAAGCCAAATCAAGAGAAAGAGGGATGAGGGAGTTCAAGAAGCATTTGTGATGGAATGTGGTTCATGGGTAGGGGTTTGTAACGATGGCAGTTTGCGACGGAAGGTGGTTTGTGGATGGTGGGTTCCTTATAATGGATGTTTTGAGGGGCCACAATGTAGGGTTCGCAATGGTGGAGTGTTCACAAAAGGGGGCTCGCGGTGGTAACAGAGGTTCATGGTGGTTTGTGGCGATGTAGTGGCCAGGGTAGAAGTGGGCGGTGGTTAAGGTTAAGGTTAAGGTTAGGAATAAGATTAAGGTTTGAAGGATGAAGAAGATAAAAATATTTTTTGTATGATAAGTTGTGCACTGAGAAAAATATAATATTTTTAATTAATTAAATGTGTGGCTTGAGAAAAGATGTCCACATAGAAGAATTGATGTGTGAAAAATAGAAGCTCCCTCAATTCAAGAGTTGGTAACACCTTCACACGGGTAATTATTCAATAGCCACAAAACACTTTGCAAACCAATCTTATAATGAAAAATTTATGAAAGAGACACATTGAGTGTATTGTGACTTCTCATTAAAGAAAAAAATAAAATAATCCATTTACTGTTTGTGATTTCTCCTTAATTAGGAATCCTATGTACACAATGTCACATGATAATGATGGTGTTTGGGAAGTGAGTTTTTATGTAGATTTTATTAGATGTAGGTTTTTATGAGATAAAAAATTTTTGGTGTTTGGGAAGATAGTTGGGTTTTTATGTGGTTAGATGTGATATTTGTGAGAGAAAAAGTGAAATGATTATGGGGTTGGATGTGATATTTTGTTTGGATGTGTTTTTTTTGGTTTTGCAAAACTTTTGTCTTTTAGTGGAAAAAATGAGAAAAAAAATTGGGAATCCTATGTACACAATGTCACATGATAATATAAAAATATCTAATAATTTTTCCCTTTAACACACATGGAAATTACATGATGTTACATAGCACAAAATGAGTGTACATTTTTAATTATTGATTTTTATGAAATAATGTACATTAATTTTTGAGAGAGTTAACTAACAAATAAGCGGATCCAGATCCTCTCCAGCAGTCCTCCTTCCAGTACTATCCAACACTTTTCACAAGATGGTGACATGTGGCGAAAAACAAATCCAATGGACTAGAAGCTACCACGTTGCAGAGAGAGAAATAAGTTGAATGCTAGACCAAAATCACATCTTCTCTTCTCACTTTACTCCAGTAGATCTTCCAATTTCTACATAAGAAAGAAGGGAAAAACATAGTAGCAATGGATTCCATGCTTATTTAAATTTCTTGTTTTTTTTTGGGTGTGCTGTTTTTGTGTTCCCAGGGTTGATGTCGTTGATGCTCATCAAATCCATTTGCATTGGCTCACTTTGGAGAATTTGATCTCCAACAAGTAACAGGTACACTGGTTTTGTTTATTATTCACAATTTTTTTTTTCTTTTTTTTCTTTCTTGATATAATTTGCAAATTAATTTCTTGTATCTATTATCTATGTACCTGAATTGCAATTGAGGCAAAAGAAGATCAAATAACTTTTTGATTAAAATATAAGATAAAAAAATTAGTGCTGGGTGAAGGGTTAATCACAAAATGGAATCTGATGGGCGGAGGGTTCTTCCCGACGCCGATACTGTTGTGTGCACTCTGCCGGTTCTTCCAACCCCAATTCTTCCCTAAATTGAATCTATAGCCATGGCTGAATTGAGGAAAAGAGGACTGATTTCTGATTCAATTTAAGTTCTGAAAGAAATGTGTTGATCACAAAAACAACAGAGAAAAAAATCCGTCCATTATTGTGAAAATCATTTTGTCAGCAAGAACAAGGTTCCATTAATTTCTCTCATTCTCTGCAACATGGACGTGTTTCAATGGCTTAGATCTCTCCCAGCCACATGTCGCCATATTGTTGAAAGTGCTGGATAATACTGGAGGAAGGACTGCTGGAGAGGATCCAAATCCTGCCCCGAGTAACAAAACCTTCCTAAGTATTCCTCATCCTAAAACACTCCTAAAATCTGTCAATGTAAAAATTTTGAGATGAGAAACATCCAAAGCATTTTGGGATAAGGAGACCTAAGGACCTCAAAAGTAAGTTGTGCACTTCAATACGCTTTGTTTAATTTCACAGATAATGAAGCAAATCAAATTAACGATGAAACAGTAAAATTTTCTGGGGGAAAAATTTTATAACAGGAGAAACCGCCTTATGGTAACCCTGTTTTACAGTCCATTTTTTGTTTTTTTTGTTTTTGGTTGGAAGTGACTGAGTGAGATAGTGGTAATTTGTTTGACCAATTATAACACATGATCATATATCATCATCGGTGTCTTCCATGAGGGCCGCCTTTATTCTTGGCAAAGAAGGTATTCTTTGGTTTTGGTATCTCGTGAATATCCATCACTTGAATCGTTCTTTGCTTCCTTGCTTCACTCGCAAAATAAACAAACAAACATAAATCAATCAGTTCAAAATCATAATAATTAGAAAAAGAAAAAGAAAAAGGAAACAGTGGGAGGGAGAGAAACAAAAAGTCAAACCATTCTCAGCTTCCTGGTAATTCTCATGAAGCCGTTTTCTTGTTGAAGCCAGCCTTTCAAGGTCGAGGCTTGATTCCTTCTGTTGTCTCTGCAATTCACAGTAAAAGCAATGTGATTCACAACACTATCTTTTTACCGCGGGAGTCCGGTGCTTGCTAAGAAAATGTGGAATCCAGAAATATTTCATCTCTAAAAAGCCTAAAATTAAGTTCATTTTTGTTTTTCTATTGGGGATGATTGAAAAAATGCAAAAATCAAAAGACCCAAAACGCCCTTTTCCACTTATTTCCTCCTCAGTTTTCTCATCACCCAAACAGAGGACAATTTAAAGGGTACCTTGGGAGGAGGGGCAGAAGCAGCTAGGGGAATAGAATGGGTCGGTTTGGCAGCAGGAGCATCTCTTCGAGGAACTACTTTTGCTTTAGGTTCAGGTTCAGAGTTGTTCTTGTCTGAACCAGAGCTCCCATCTACAACAATTTTTAATAAAAAAAGACAAAAAAAAATTATATATATCTATCAAATCAAATCCACGAAAAGATAAAAACAAATAGATCCAATTGAGCTAGGAATCAGATTCGGTAGTTACTGTGTGGATTTGGAGAGTACGCAAAATCAGGAACCTGTAAAGACCACAACTTTGGAGATCAAAAGTTTGGAATTTTCACAAAAACCTTTTGTTTCTCAAAAAAGTGCAGCCAAGTGAGGAAGCAAACGCTAACTTTTACCTGGTGGTGAAGACCGTTTCGGGTATTACTAGGTGGAACATTCTGCTGAGGAGAGTCTCCATCAGCTGCCAACACCCCCACTATCACCATTAATGAACCTCTTTTTTAGTTCAATTCAAACAAGTAATAATTCTATCTAGAAACAGAAAGCAAGAGAGGGTTTAGAATTTTGGATGATATTACCAATGAGAGAAGAAGAAACAAGTTGATTGGGTGTATTCAACTTAACCCATTCATCAACCAAATCTTTCCATTTTCTGTAAAAAAAAATAAAAAACAAAAACAAAAACAAAACAAAAAAACAAAAACATAATCTAACAACTCCCACAACTATTTGTCTATGTCTGTGTATAGTAAAACAACCAAACACACTATTGTCTTTCCAAAATTGTTTGTTTTAGTTTCGAATCTTCAAACCTGACGAGTTGTTTAACCAATCTCCGCACATCATTTGATGGATTCTTCCGCAAACGATTCACATGCCTTCCAATATCAGTTTCCTGAGACAGATACTCTTAGAAAGAATGAAAATGAAATATATATATATTTATATATCAGACATGCCTTCGATTACCTTGAGTGCTTTGAATGTTATATCCATATCTGCAAGGCTTTGAAGCAATTCAACCAGGGAATCTTCAGACTGAAACAGAGAAATTATGGTTCAACAACACAGTTTCAAAAATTAATACTCGTAATAATAATAACAATCAGAAAACTAAGAGTCAATAATTGAAGATAAAATTGAATGAATACCTGGTCTGGATCTTCAAGCTGTTCTTTGATGTTAAGAATTCTGGTCTCTTCATCGTCGAACAAACCTCCGTACGGATCTCGTTCTTCATTGTCATCGTCGTCGTCGGCGTCTCTATGAATCGACTGCGGAGTTGAAGGCGAACCTCCTTCCTTTTGTTGTTGTTGTTGTTCATGTTCATCATCATGACTCCTCTCTTCCTTGATGAAATCCAAAGACAAAGCCTCGTTTTTGGGAACGCCGTTGGGTCTCTGGAGATCAACGTCGCAGTTCTGGCACCGCAAATCAGAGCTCGTTGTTGTGTAGAGTCGCTCCACGATTCTGTCCCTCCGATCCTTCAACTCGTGCCCGTAGTCCAACGAAGCCACCGTGATTGCCGTGTCGATTAACTCCCACACGTTCACTCTCGAATTCGACAAAATCATCCGAAACGCATCCAAATCCATCCTCCAAACCCTAATCGATCCAATCCAATCCAATCCGATCGAAACACCAAACTTCAGATCCCTTCTCAACTTCCCCTCTCTCTCTCTCTCTCTAAAACTATATTCAAATCAAATCCGATGATGAGCACAAATTGTGTAAATTACAGCACCAGATCTATCAAGTACTCTGAAAACCAGGTGAATATGATCAGTGAAATCTACACGTCCGTATGGCCGAAAAGGTAACAACAGAACAATCATGTACTACCATTGATTTCGAAGAAAACAGAGCACGTATCCATTTTTATTAGATCCAAAGCAACCCAACAACAATACCAATCACCAAAACTTCTGATTAAAAAAAATAATAATAATTAATAAAAAAAAATAACCAAAACTTGGTACGAAGCCCACGGATCTGGCTCAGAGCCTCAACTCTCTCTCACACACACACTCGGACACCGTTAGCGAGAAGAGATCGAGAGAAGTATTGAAACTTTATCTGAAAGAGTCCGTGATTTTGGTTTATTTGCGGATGTAACCCATGGAATTTTCTGGAAAATTAGACAGATACATGAGGGCATATTCTGAAAATGAAAAATTCCAACTTCTCTCTTTTTCCTTTCTCTTTTTTTTACTCTCTTAATTTCAATATTCCAATTTTTTGGGCTATGAATCTGATGATGAATGAATATGACTGGATTGTGGATGTAGTCTCCCCCTTTTCTCTCTCTGTTCCCACTGTTTTTTTGGTTTGTTGTGGAATCGATGACATCGGAACAAGACAAAGAGTGTGGATAGAGAAAGAGCGAGTGAACTTCCTTTTCATTTTTCTTTTTGTTTTTTTAAATTAAAAAAAAATACAAATTTATTTTTTAGACTTTATTTTATATACCTAATAATATATAAAGGGGAAATTACCCACAGGTCTTATGCGGAACATGTGGATACTATTTAATCCCATAACTTTTTGGATACACCCAAAAGTCTTTTCCTCCATCTCTCTGGTTTTTTCCTCCCTTTTTACGTTTTCTTCTTTCTCTTTTTTTCTACATTTTTCTCTCATCGTCTTCGTCATAGACGATGGTGCAAGTGTTCATGTCTTTCTCCATTGATCGGGGTTCACTGATAACCGCCAACCATCGAAATCAACTCGTGATTTCACTTTCACCGACGGCAAAAATATATATTTCCGACGAAGAAGATGAGTGGATCTACTTATATCTGATGTAGATCAGATCTACATCAGATCTTAGTAGATCTACATCAGATTTAGCTAGATCTAAACAAAAAATAGTTGTCGGAGTACAATCCTCTCTCTAAATCCGCCTTTCTCCTTCGATCTCTTTTTTTTTCTCTGCTATACACTTTTGTTTTTCTGTTCTAATGGAGAAAATTTTCGAATTCTGAACAAGTAGTTTTTGAGTTTTAGTTATAGGCGGTGAAAACTGTAAAATTTTGCAGTTTCAATTTTTTTTTTGGTGCTGGAATGAATCATGGTTTAAAACTGTAAAATTTTGCAGTTTTATAACATTTTTTAGAACTGTAAAATTTTACAGTTTCATAACATGTTTTAAACATTCCGACGAGTCTCCGGCGATGTTGAACATTCCGACGAGTCTCCGGCGATGTTGAACATTCCGACGAGTCTCCGGCGATGTTGAACATTCCGACGAGTCTCCGGCGATGTTGAACATTCCGACGAGTCTCCGGCGATGTTGAACATTCCGACGAGTCTCCGGCGATGTTGAACATTCCGACGAGTCTCCGGCGATGTTGAACATTCCGACGAGTCTCCGGCGATGTTGAACATTCCGACGAGTCTCCGGCGATGTTGAACATTCCGACGAGTCTCCGGCGATGTTGAACATTCCGACGAGTCTCCGGCGATGTTGAACATTCCGACGAGTCTCCGGCGATGTTGAACATTCCGACGAGTCTCCGGCGATGTTGAACATTCCGACGAGTCTCCGGCGATGTTGAACATTCCGACGAGTCTCCGGCGATGTTGAACATTCCGACGAGTCTCCGGCGACCGTTTGACGGAAGTCCGACGGTAGTAAAATGTGAACAGTGTCCGTAAATTTAAAAAAAAAAAAGGATTTTTTGATAACAATTAAAAATGTATTGGACTAATTGGGGCAAGTGTTTTGTTTGGGGATTAGCTGGGTCTTGAACTTTGTACATGGGACTTATCAGTAAGTTCCCC